ATGTGTAGTATTACCAGCTGGCATTCAAGTAATTCTACTACTATATTACAAAAACTGCATGTTCTTATGTATGTGAGCTAACCTTTGAGACAAACATTTGTTGCCCAGCAACATTAATAGACAATCACATGACGCAGAAAATATCCTTTGGGCCCTGTTTGATTGCAACTGTATAATGGTTTTGAACATTTAGCCGCTAAGCCATTTGTTCAACATTGTAATTACATTGTGTTTACCTGGATAGCAATGTAAGCTTTTGCTCCAGCATGATTTCCAGCTTTTGAGCCTGTTTGGAGATCCAGTGGTCCACCCCATGGTAACGATAACAGTTCTCCAACATCAGCCTGAAGTCGGCAACAAACTCTGTTATGGTCTCATACTCTTGTTTGATAAACTTCTCCTCCATCCTCCGCAAGCAGATCGACTGCCTGAGCTGTGCCTGACCCCAGCCCCGCACCCCACCAATACCATGCTGGGCCTCCTGGTTGCCGATGGGATGGAGGAACGGGCTGGTGATCCCTTTGTGCTTGTCTAAGAGAAAGCCAGTGAATATCCTATAAGCTTGCTGGACCTCATAGTTCATATCCTCCTCAAAGCTATTGCTGTTGCTGTTAGTGGAAATGCAGACCTCAGGCAGCGAGAGGTCACTGTTGGAAAACATGCCATCATTGCTAAGTGCAAGTTGGTCACCCTCAGCAGTAACATCTCCACTGTCGCCAGGACAGTGCAACGCCACTGTAGTCTCAACGTCACAGGTGCCATTACTGAGCCCATCCTTGGGTACAACCAGGTCAGTGTCTTCCGTGCTGCTGCTCACCCATTTGGATTGTGAGGACATGATGTCTGAGCTGAGCCGCTGGGCTGCTGAGTCTTGGTCAGTCACAGTCGAGTCTTGGGTGTGGAACAAAGGTTGGCTACAAGCTGCTGTGATTTGGTCTGTTATATCCTCCTGTTCCATCGTGCAGGCACCTGAAGTGGGTAACAGGTGGTGAACTTTGATGTTGCAAACAAGACTCCAACATAGTTTCTATGCCAGGGAAAACTAAACTTAGCTAAATAAATAATGCTTACTAAGCATTCATATTGCGTGGTCCAAAAGACATTAAATCAGGGAGAGGCTATGTTTATCACTACTAACATATCTGAGATTGCTAGGCTAAGTTTGACATTATAATTCCTGTCATGGCAGGTGTTCCCATTATTACAGCCGCATGATGAGACACCGGAGTGTTTACTTACCAGCAGTTGAACTTTCTTTATCTACCTGTCTGATCTTTGCAAACTTTCCCTTTTCCCTCGATCCTTGGCTAGATAGCATAACGTTAGCTTCCTAGCGAGCGAGCTAACGCTAGTTAACAACAGTAAGTAAACAAAGTTTGTTCTCGCTTGCTCATAGAGGGATCTACGGTGCATTGTTTAACCACGTCCCGTCTCCCGATCACGTGCAAAATAAGAGCAAAACAAAGTGACCAGAGGCAGAGCTTGGTTGGTTCAACAACATACCTCGACGTTTTCAGTGCGGCTCCAGACACGCACCAAGGCAGGAGCGCTTTTAGCAAGCTTAGCAGCCACGACAGCTCGCTAGCCAGGTTAGCTTGCTATTGTCTCCAGTCTGGGGCCTGCAATTGCTGCGTTCGCTGTCCATACTGAAAATGTTGTAGCCATTAAATGTGCAGCTGATAAAAAGTGCATACATCGCATGTCGCCGGCACACGGAGTCATGTCGGTGACAGCGAGATCGCTAAAGGAGCATTAGCCGTAGTAGCTGATTGTCCGACAATGCATAACAGTTCATTATCACCAACAAGGCTTACCCCGGATAGGTTTTACAAGTTGGCAGCTACTTTATGACATGTAAGTGCTACTAGGTTCACTTCAGAGTCTAATGTGCGCAATGTGTCAGGTTTCTTCTGAACCCTGTGAGGGTTTAGAGAAAAAAAAGCTAGTAAACCGACAGCCCTGTCTCTCTGTCTGTCTGAACACTACTGTACCACTTCACTTCCACCCTGCGTGCGCCCGAAACGTGCGCAGCCTGCCCTGACGTAGCTAGCCCGTCGCGTGTCACACCAAAAATTTGGGTTTGGAGCTGTTGCTGATACACACACACATACACACATACATACACACACACACATACTTCAACACTGTGCTATTGGCCTCACTGTAAGCGTGTGTCGCCCATTGTCAGTGAAAGAGCAGCAAATGGAGACGGCTGTCATTCGGAAATAAATGAATAAATTGCATCGTCTACAAGGCTACTGTGCACAACGTGGTAGCATCACACGGTGAACTCTCATTCATAAACTTGAGCGCATAAAGTGTAATTGAACTACCCACAGGAGACACAGCAGGTACTGTTCCGTGTAGCCTACAGTGTAAACTTGAGCTGCACACGTTGCTCCCTTGCAACCGCTAGATGTCGCTAGTCACTAATGTACAGCACACTGCTGAGTATCTTCTGTCTTACCTTTTGTTTGGCCTCTCAGGTGGCTCTTAACCTCAGGCTTCCACCTTCTGGTTATTCTGATTATGGGAATGTTTTGGACAAGTGTGTGTGTCAGATCCTAGCGCAGGAGGCAGGATTTGTACACTGATTGAGAGAATTGACAAACTTTACAGACTTTTATCAGGGCAAGAGAGTCCTATAATGTTGTGTTCGGGTTGCTGCATGTCGGCATACACTGCTGTAGGGTGAGGGATGGGATTTATCATCAGCTTGATATGTTAAAACATCTTATTGTTTTAATAAAACTAGACTTTGACTGTTACAGCATGTGCATAGGAAAGAATATGCAGCATCAGGAAAGCAGTTGTATTATCCTCTTATACTGACAGCTATAGAGTTGCCAACGGCACACTGAGAAGGTCTCCAGCTGGGACAATTGTTAATTAAGCAATTATGCCACGAGAGGCATGTGCTACAGTGATTTCTGTTCAGCTAGGAAGTATTGTCAGGCAGGGGTTTTTCAGTCCAATATAGATCTTCTTTTTGATACACAATGATGGAAGAATATCTGATGTTCATTGCAGTGGTGTTCACAAATACTTTGAGGCTTTTACTATATGTTTTGGGAAAGATAGATTTTGATGCAATATATGAAACTTAGATTTTTATTGATTTGCTATTTAAACATGTATTTTAATTCACCGTAACTACTACAATATTGATTATCTTATGATAAAATGCTTAACTGAGAACCTACATAAAAAGAAAGATTGTCCATTCAACCCATACAAAAAAGACTTTTGTATAAAGGCAAAAGAAATTCAAAAGGCATTACATAAGGCAGTGGAATACAATAAAACCACAGTGGAGAGGGGAAATATAATACATCAAAATAGAAAACAAATTTGGTACAAATAGACAAATAAGCACAGACAAGAAATACAGTTTCAGTATTAAGTTGCACCAATAAAAAAATGCAGTGGAAAAATCAAAGGGACAGGAGAACAGGAGAGATTTGAATTTAAATGTGAAATTCACAAAAGTTTGGGCACATTGGAGACAGTCCAGCAGAATAGCAGCTAAAAAGCTTAGATGCTTGTTAGGGTTCTTTTTCTGGCATATCCTCTATGAATTTTTGCTCAAGGGCATTACGTGATATGTGACAGGCAGCAGCACTTTAAAATACGTTTTAAAACTAATTGTCAGCCAATGGGCTCAGTTTGACTGTTTCTTATTAGAACTATGGCAGCAGCATATTGAATGTGATGCAGTCGCGTAACAGCCTTTTTGGAATGACAAGAGATGAAAGACTTGCTCTATAGTCTTTTGTTAATCCTATAATATATACTACATTTAACCAAAACTGGATTACTAGCCAGTAAAAGCCCCATATTCATTGTGGAGATTGCTTTGTAATTTGATGAATTGTAATTTTGTTTGGAAATATATAGGAATATGCACTTCTAAAGCTCAATTTCAGATGACATGGTGATGGCATTAAGGCGAGTCTTGATTCATTGGCCGATCTTGAGGTCCTGACTTGAAGAATTTGTCTCAAAATGTAGTTTTAGGACCATGATTACCTCAGCTGATACCATGTCTATTGCACATAGTACATAAATAGAAATTTGTGTTTAATCGAGTTTCCACGCAGTAAACCTGGGACTATGTAATATTCCAGCATGGGAATACTGTACACGAAGCACAGAGAGTGGGAGGAACATGAGGTTAATAGAGGCCCAGTAGCCAGTTTTTGCCCCATGGCTCCAAGTAGGTTAAAGTACAACAATAATACTCTCTGCATATAAGTATTATCAGAAAAAATATACATAAAGGAGCTCTTATGGTGCAGCAGAATGGCCGCTGTCAGAATGAATTCTTGCACATTGGCTGTACTAGATATTAGCTTTAGCAGTGATTTTAATGTTTCCATATTCTGTATGTAAATGTGCAATTTCAGTCAGACGAATGCAAAGGCGTGTAAAGAAAATCCAATCCAATATTTTTCTCAGAAATGTAGAGTAGAATTACAGGGAGCAAAAATAGAAGTACCTCAAAATGTACTTTCCAGCACTGATCCGGCCACTCACACACTGATTTTTTTTGGGGGGGGTAGTTAGGCCAATTCTGCTGACAGGAAGAACACACCATGTCAAAACTACATGTCCCTTTGTCTTATCCCAGGACATATTTAAGTGGCACCACTATAATAAATGCCTACTACTGCTCTATCAAAGGCCTCAGTCTCAAGGCCTTCGGATATGGCTGGGTATTCTTTCTTATTTCCTCTTACATTAAAGGGAGAGCTGTGCCTTTAACTGCAAACTGTGCTCGCTTAAACGTTATTTCGCGAGATTTGCTTGGCGCCGCGACCTCATGTGAGACACCTCCTGCGCGAGTCAGTCCGACGTTGCCTCTGCAGAGGAAAACGCAATGGAGCCCTGAACATTTTTTTTGTTCATTTATATCTCCTTTAACCCCCTGGAAAACAACACCCGTATCCAAATACTGCTCTACCCGCTGTTTATTTGAAGCGTAACAGGGCGGTGCAACGATGTGGATCCAGGTTCGTACTATAGACGGGAAGGAGACGCGAACCGTTGAGGATCTTTCTAGATTGACCAAAATTGAGTCTTTACGGTTGAAAATACAGGACATCTTCAATGTAAGCCCGCGACAGCAGCGCCTGTTCTACAGAGGGAAGCAGGTAAATCTATTTTTTTATGCCCCCCCGTTATGCAACAGTCGGTTTTTTGATGCTTTGGCAAAGGGTTTGGGTGCTGGTGGAGAGTGAGTGGTCTTCTAGGTGTTGTAGCCGTTTTCGGACCCATGCGAGCTTCCTGTTTTGATAGGAATTCGCCAATAGTTCTTGCGCAAGAGCCCGGTGTACGTGGTGTGCCAGCCCCCCCCCCCAAGATATATTAAAAAATAAATAAAAAAAGAGGGGATATTACGCGAAATATGTGGTGTTATTATGGAGCTATGTTACATTGTTTGGGTTGGCGGCTGAGGAGACCCGCATGCAACAAATGTCTCACCGCCGTAGACATGTTTGTTTACATTGCCGCGAGAGAGAGAGAGAAAGGAGAACATCGCCCTCTGTTTCCACATGCAGACGAAAAGTAGTGCAGTGCAAACAAAAACATGCCTGCGTCGAGAGCACATGTTAAACCGAATTAACGTAACAGCCCGGTGTCCGTAAGTGTCTATCTTAAGCACGCATTTCTGTTTTTGCGTTTGTAACATGTGGCACCCGTAGCTCCCGGCTGCACTGAGTCCATTAGCGAGGCACCAGACTCGTGCATGTGCTGTGTTTTGATGATGTTAATGGTTTTTTGAGGGAGGAGGGGACTCCACGTGCCCTGACATCTAAAAGCAAGAGTGGTTGTGTTTACACCTTGTCTGTAGGCACACGGTACGGGGAGGACAGGCAGGGCTGACTGCTGTAAAGAGGCGCACCTGTCCTCTCATGGCCGGATCATTGGGTAATAGTGTGTGCAAATACAGTACAACACAATTCAGGTGTAACTCTACCAATATGAGGTAGATGGGTAACACTTTTTAGTTGTCTTTGCTGATTCCATGCCACCCTATTTTGTTTGGGGCTACTACACCCTGTACCTGTGTGGTTACATCAATAGCACAGCCTTTATGTACTTACTTTAATTGGCTTGAGAGTGTTTACCTAAGCATTTTGTATCTACATATAATTGTGTCATATTAGGATATTGTGATTTAACAGTTCCAAGTTACAACATGAAGGGCCAGATATCGTTAATTAATAAAATATAAATAATTTAGCATAATACTGAAAAATGTAATGGGATCAACATAAATTTAACCTTTTATCATTGTTTGTAGACTTAAATTTAACATTGTTATTCTTCATACTACAATATGACTTAAATAATCTGTACTACAAGAAAACCAATAGGGCTCTGGAGGGAAAAAAAATCTGTTTGGGCATTTCCTACAATGTCACTTTCTTTGAGATGAAACTAGCGCTAAAACCACAATAATCGTTCAAGATCTAAATGAGCCTAAAACTATGTCTTTGGTTTTAAGGCTACTGCCAGGCAGGGATATGTAGTCTCTGTCCTGGTGTGATGGCAATTCCACACACTGTTGAATCGTGTTGTGTTAGAAATGTGAGCAGATGTTTGTGTAATTTTATGAAATACCAGTCAGTGGGAAGAGAATGGTATGAGAACTGTAAGCTGCCATCCTGACATAGGCACATGTATATTTTGTATGTCGTGGCGGATGGTTGCACAGGCATCCTCAAAGCCTGCGGTTGTACTTTTTTGAACACACACAGGCACATTTTATGAGATACCACACACACACACATGCATGCACTGTAACCACAACTGTTAAAGTAGTAGATGCAAACCAATATTTGTAAAATGTATATCCTGCAACCATAGACGTGGTGTGAAATATGTGAACATTTAATATATGAAACGATAGAAATATAAAAGACAGTACAGAAAATACTGACCCACTGTATCTCAATATGTATCCTGTGTGAAAGATTGGTAAAAACCTTCACTCTGCCAGCAGTTCTATCAGTAATAAGCAGAAGATGCTCTGGCAGGACACTGGTGCCATGATTTACTTAGTATTTTAGCATAACATTACAAAGCTGATATTAACACAGTATGACTCAGCCGGGCAGATAAGCCCTCGGAAGCAAACAGCCTACATGATGTGTTGATCTCACATTGTTTACATTCAGTCACACTTGCCTTTATTTATAGGTGTCAGGCAGTATTGTAGGCCAAGGAATTCCATTTTCAAGTTGTCCAGCCTACTTCCTGTTGTGTAATTGAATGATAATGAAGTCTCCAACGTTCAACTCTGCATCACAGAGGCAACAATGGGTTGATTTTCTTCTCTGCTCGTGTGCTGCATGTGCTGTACTGCAGGACGGAGAGAACGAAAATACTTCCAAGATCTGTTTCGAATGGTGAAGGAGAGATTTTAATGCCTTGAATGCTATTGTATCTCTATAGGCTACAGCACCTTTTTCTTTTGTCCAAAACAATGGTTTACGTGGCGAACCTAATAATAGCAAACTATTATTATGGAAAGAATTGTGTGTGTGTGTTGTTTGCACCAGCGCCTCTGGATGCATTTTGCATGTTTTTACTAGTAAACAAATTCCATTGTTCTGTTCTAAAATCAACAAAACCCACATGCAACTTTAAAATACCTTCAGTGGCAAAGCAAAACTGTTCTCTCAATTCACCAAATTCACCAAAATCGGTAGCTGCATATGACACAATTTTCATTAGCTTTATTAAAAATTAAGTAGCTGTTATGTTGGGGTGGTCCTTGACTGCCGGAGCTGTGGTTGCAAAGGCTAGGCCCGTGTAGTAAATCCTGTGCTTCCTTCATTTCACTGGAAAATGAGTGGGGAGGGTTGATTAGGGGATTTCCATGTGTTAAGTAATGCAAGGAATGAACCAGTGACACGCAGCGTACACTAGCTAGTGCCCTTACATGCTTGGAGTGCTGCCTGCGCTCTGTTAGGATTTAGACTTGTAGCAGAATAACTCAGTCTAATTCCTTTTCAAAATGGCGTCTTGTTTTTTCCCCCCAGCTCACTGCGCACGTTGCCTCGCCAGTTCAAAGTCATGCTTGCCCTTCAGTCGGAAGGGTCTCGAGCCAGCAGCCACACAACTTTGCCTCAGTGTTTTTTTTAATGGGTTTTTCAATATGCCTGTGCACTCATTGCGTCTCTGTTTCACTTTGAAAAACAACATCTCATGTCACTCACATTTCACGAGCAGACTCGCACACACACACCTTTCACTGTCCGTGCAGCCTTTCTGCTCAACGCCCACACTCACTTTTGCAGTAGACTTCTCATTTACTAATTAAAAAAAACGGTTTGGCCTGTTTATCAAGCGGTTTAAAGCTCAGCTTGTATTTGTCCATGTGCTTCAAATATAAGGCTGTAGTTCACTGGTGTTTTTTTTTCTACTGAGGCAGCAACATGTTTCATGTTGAAATAGTTGGCCTGTCGTCCACTGTTAGCTGTTGCCTATTGTTGGGCTGTAGGAACGCTTTATTGGCTTGGCCTCTTTTACACAGACTGTTGCAGTGACCTAGATATCGTTACAATTTGATTATACATACATTGATGCTGTGGCTCCTCGATTGATGGGTTTTCGTTGGGTATTGCTAAGCTGTAGAATTTCATAGAGAATTTTAGGGGGAGCAGAGTTTTGCTGCAGCCATGCATGTAAACAGTCACACCCTTCTTCGACAGATAGGCTGGACAAAGAGCAAAGACAAAGAGAGGCACTCAACCTAGACTACAACTGCAGGCTTTCTAACACTCTCACATGTTTTCATAGTTTCGCCACTCCTTCTCATAGTAGCTTTAGCTCGGTTAGTGGACAAATGTCCTACCTGTTAACTGCCAGCTCTTGTATGTATTGTAAACAGTCGGGTTTCCCCTACTGTTTTTTTAGCTCAGATTACCAGAGGGCTGCCCGGGTTATTATACTGCTAACTGTCTCATGTTTCTTGGGTTTAGCTTTCCTTATGTCATTAATGGCACACATTTGCAGCTAATAAACATAGTCTGTGATCTAAATATAAACATAGAGATTGTCTCATCATAGGTTAGTCTGTCAGTATAATTATACTGACTAACACAACAGTCTACAGTATGTGATTAATACTTTCTGATAATAAAGGGTTGTTTACACAGTATAGAATCTGTTCTCAATTATGAGCATAAAAAAGAATTTCATACAGTAAATTGCATTTATACTCACTATTATGCCTTACTTCTTAATGACAAAGTATCAAACAATGAATACATTAATACATAAAATGTGTGGAAAAGGCTGTGAACTGATGTACAGATTCCTGCCATAGCGCTCGAGCAGAGTGGTAGATCCCAAGACATTTTAAAAAACATTGCTTTATCCGATTTAAGGAATTTTCCCCAACTTAGCTGAAAAGTGTTTTAACTGTTTCACTATTTAACGAACGGCGGCAAGATGACAAATTGCGAAAATGGAACACTGCTTCTGCATCACAGTTGAACATTTTCCTTTTGTACAGTGGTACAAGCTTGGTGTAGGAACTAACATAAAGAGAAGAAAAGAGCTGCAAACGAGAGGAAAAAAACAACCTTTGTCACCTTTCCAGGTATTTCTTGCTAATTAGCGGTGAGCATTTTTGGTACAGGATTGAATGACTGTAGGCAGCATGAGGGATAAAAGATCAAAGATGGAACCTTGGTAGATGGCAGACACACAGACACACCCCATGTCATTGTTTTTGGAAATATGACCTATTTTTCTCAGCTCATTGCAAAGACGGCCTGCGGGCGGAAACAAGGGTGAAGAAGAAGCTGTGTAGGAGTAAGGGGTTTGGATGGTCTGCCTGAGCAAAAGAGGCAGATTTCTGCACGGCTATGAAATTTCTTCTCCACCACCAGTGTGGGTCCGACACTCCGACACTCTGACTTGGATTTCACACCCTTTTAAACCACTCCAATGTCAAATGGCCCACCATGATTAGTCTTTCAATTTTGGTTTCACCTTTACTTAATGGGTTAATGTATTCTGTCACTGCTATGCAGGCATAGATACTAAGTAGGCGATGCTATAATTTCAAAATGCTTTCTGCATTAAGAGCTTTTAAAGTCTTACAATAAGATACTGTGTGACAGGATGTTGGCACAATAATTCAATTTAATGTAATATTACAGCCAAATCTCCCCCCACCCGCAGTTTCTGCTCTATAATAGGTATTATTTGGTGTAGATTTATTATAATGTTAACACATGTTCCATCATTGATATTAGATGAGATGAG